AAATAAAACAGGCTAAGGAAAATTGGATGATGGAAACATGCAGCGAAGTGGAAAAGTTGCAAAAAAAGCATGAACATTATAATTTACATAAAAAAGTAAAAGAATTATCTGGAAAATCACGAACAAATACACCTAACCGATTAATTGACAAAAACAATAAACCTATTAATAACCCAATTGAAATAAAACAAGTATGGACTAAATATATTGAAGATCTTTTCATGGACACAAGAACGGAACCAACACAAATTGATAACGAGGAAGCTCCAATAATATTAAGATCTGAAGTCTTTTATTATTAATTTAAGTGCAATAACTATACTCTTTAACAACATATACAAATCTTATGAGATACCTACAGAATGGCTGCTATCGACTCTTGTTCCGCTACCAAAAACCAAGAACCCCTAAACACTGTAATGACTATAGATTAATCAGCTTAATGTCACACTTATTAAAAACATTTTTTAAGATTATTCATGTAAGAATATTCAGAAAGTGCGAAGCGGATATGAGTAATAGACAGTTTGGAACAGTGAAAGCTCTCCATAGTTTCACAACTCTTGCCCAAAAATGTCGAGACCAACAAAAAGATCTTATCGTTGCGTTTATAGACTATGAAAAAGCTTTCGACAAAGTTAAACAAACATTCTCATGGAATGTCTAAAGAGAAAAGGACTCGACAAAAATGACATTAACATAGTGAGAAATCTCTATTGGAACCAACAGGCTGTGGTAAAATTACATGGAAATAGCGCGGATGTGCAACAGATAAGTAGAGAGTGAGACAGGGCTGTGTACTTTCACCATTACTATTTAATATATATTCTGAAGAGTTATTTACGTAAGCACTTAAAAACTGTACAGAAGGGATCAAGATAAATGGTGAAAATATAAATAACATCCGTTATGCTGACGATACAGTCATTATCGCTGAAAGTGAGACAGACCTGCAGATTTACTAAACACAATTTGCGATATTGGGGAACAATTTGGTTTAATAATAACATAAAGAAATCCAAAAACATGGTTATCAGTAAGAGGGGCAAATTCATTACAAGGATCCAGATAAAAATGAAGATATTGAGCAAGTGGACAAAATGAAATACTTAGTAGTCTGGATTACGGAAGATCTGAATCCGAAATCAGAAATTCGCTCAAGAATAGAGTAATCAAGAGCAGCCTTTTTGAATATGAGGAAATTTCTGAGTAACCAAAGACTCAATCTGCAAATCCGATATCGGATGGTAAAATGTTATATCCACTCTATTCTTCTTTATAGTGTCGAAGCCTGGACTGTTAATGTTGACTTAATGAGAAAACTGTAAGCTTTTGAGATGTGGCTTTTTAGTAGAATTTTGAAGATACCATGGACCGATCATATTACGAACGAAATGGTGTTGCACAGAATGGGAAGAGACAGAGAACTTTTGACCACCATTAAAAGGCGAAAGACAGCATATTTGGGCACATACTTAGAAATGATAAGTACGAGTTGTTGCAGCTGATTATGAAGGGTAAAATCAAAGGAAAAATGGGTCCTGGTAGACGACAAATATGCTGGCTGAAAAACATTCGCGACTGGACCAGGTTAAACACACAGTCGCTCTTAAGAAAGCAGAAGATAGAGACGAATTTGCAATGGTAATAGCCAACCTTCACTAGTGGAGACGGCACTAGAAGAAGAAGATGCAGTTGACGCAATACTACTCACTCAAAGTGAAGACAATTTACAACGTATGCTGCACCAATTTAATATAATATGTAAGATAATGTTTCACCAAAAAAAGACAAAATGCATGGTTACAACAGCAAATTTACTAAGATGGAAATTGGAGCTGGAAGGTCAGATAATAGAACAAGTGATGGAGTTTAAATATCTAGGCATCACATTATCTAGCTACGGAAAGCTCTAAACAAAAGTGAATAGAGCAAACAGAGACGCAAGTTCCTGAATATGGAGAAATAAACATACCAGGGAAGAAATGAAAGGCAAAATTTACAAAACAGTCGTGAAACCAATGACATACTCGGCAGAAACACAACCTGACACGTAGAGGACAAAAGGAATGTTAAAATAGCAGAGATAAAAAGTTGATGGTAAAACACTATGTGGCAGAGATATAAGTATAGATATAAGACGTAGATGCAAGGTTCAGACCATTAAGAACTAGGGAAGAAATAGAAAAGTAGAACGGAACGATCATTTCGTAGAAGAGACAGAAAGAGACGGTTCCCCAATAGAAAGATGATTAATCTGAAGACCACGAAAACGATGGAGCGGCAACTTACTGGAGGCACATTTAAAAACAGACAGAGTCATGTCTACATAAAAAGAAGAAAAAGTAGCTGATCGGTCATATCTTCGACCTTTTTGACGGACCAATCAGTTCCGCTGATTTATTCGCTACTACAGGAATAGGGTATGGAATATATATCACAAAAAGTAAAAGACGGTGGTGGGTTTTAACGAACGATTTAAAAGTGCACTCGATGCCATCTTTGCAAAAGATCTTACTTATTCTGCGACCATGGAGTGAACATACGAAAACAAAGTGACGCATGTACAAGAAGTAGGATCCAAGATAGATGCACGTGGATCGAAAGGATGATGTCTAGGGGTAATATTCAAAATTTTGTTACAGTAACCATTCGGGATATGGATCTCTTGATGATAAATTTATTTTATGCCGATATAAATATCTGATTATTATTCATATTTTTAATAATCTTCCCGCTATGTAAATTTATTCTTAAATTTGTACAGAAAATAGCAGGAAATAAGTTGTCTTCATCAGGAGACAAAAAATAGACGATGATGGTTTGTAAAAACGAGGTAATAGTCATTTACAGAGTATCCTTCACCAGTTTTTTTATCCTATCAGTTTAACTATTTGATTAAAATAACGAAAAAAATGTTCTTAAATTCATTAATCTTATTTTTAAACGAGTTGTAATTGTAGTCATCTATTTACTTAAAATATATTTTTAAGTTGCCTTGACTGACATCACATTATAATTACAATTTTACGTATAGCGTTTTAACATTTGTTTGTTTTGATAAAACATTAGTCAATTTCAACACACAGTAATATTAAATAAGTTTTTCAGATATGAAAATATAAAAATTATTTCCTCATTTATCTGTACCTATAATAATTGCGGATATTTTCTAATCAAGTTATTTCTTTGGTTATTTTCTAAAAATCCATATATATATATGTATATATATATATATATATATATATATATATATATATATATATATATATATATATATGTAATATTTAATATGCACACTTCTTCATAAACGTCATAATACATCCTTTTTTCTCAGGACATAGAATCATCTTCAATATATTTCGAGGACGTCTGTCGTCCTCCTTACATGTCTAAACCGCGTTAATTGTCTAATTTCTTTCGTATATTCGTTTCCATTCAAGTTTCTATCTACAGCAGGTTTGTCTCAAATAGTCCATTTTTGAAGTCATAAGTTTGTGCCTCTTAGCTTTGGTAAAAATCAGATAATTGCCAAGTCTGTGCCTTCTACAATTTTCAAAGCAAAACAGACAATGGATGGACTGACATGGGGAATATAAATTTGAAATCCACAACATATCAATTCATCGGGGCAAGAACCTTTTAGCGACTTTGTATCATTACTTCTTTTGACGGAAACGATTTAATTTCATGCTTCTACATTGTCGCTCTGATTGGTCCTGATAAGACGAAATACGTAAAACCGAATAGTGGAAGCACGATACTCTGAAATTAAATCTTAACTGTCTTTTCTGTATAATTATTTGCTTCCCAACTTTTTGTCTTTTGCTGTAGAGGAAGATCTTGAGCAAGCTGATGACCACCAAGCATCAGCTTACCATAACGGAGCTTTAAGTATGTTTCTAGGTGCAGGGGTAATTATTGCATGTTAGTTGGTTCACCTTTTTGCGTAACGAGAATATTAAGTCAGGCATTTGCTCCTCAGATCAAATTTGTAAACTGTTTAATGGCGACCTGGCCTCCACCGTATTTAAATAACTCCATACCATACCACCATATCTGCCTGGAGATTGGTATTTCTTTAGCTTTTTTTATATTTTTATAGATATTTTCACTTCTCCTACCGATGGTGGTTCCCCAATTCCTCAATTCGGTACTCCAGTTCTATGTTGTTAGTAGGTTGCCGTTCCAGCAACTCTCGAAAGCATTACCTTATTGTTTGTTTGCATTATTTTCTTTTCTTTTTATATACTTTTGGTCGAATCAGTCGTTTACCTCTTTGCTTCGGGATATTCCCAATGTGCTTTTGGCTGCTAATTTCAGAGCCTCATTGCTGTTGTTCCACATTTTTGTGCTTGACTGCTCGAGTAACCAGATCTGTTCTATGGTCTTTTATGTGTGAATGGAACGGTTTCTCTATGTTTCTATTATTTAGCATATGTAACTTATATTTTAGTTGTTTAGTGTCCTTAATAAGCCTCCTGATTAAGATGATAATTCATATTAATCTGTGAGGCTTTTTGCGTTAACAAATTAGTTGATTTAATAGATTTAAGAATTTAGTTTCACTTGCTTACTTTCAAGGGCAAGTAACAAATCAATAGTTGACTTTAGAAACCACCTCGACTAACCCTTATTTAAAATGTATGTAAAAATCATATATTCGGCAATATTAGACTATTAAAAATATATCTTGAAACATTAAGGCATTACAGAATATTATAGAAAACGATTTTGTAAAACATAATATACCATTCTTGAGTGTTATCCAAAATATATTTAACATTTTAATACATAATTCTGTAAACATAATATTTAAATATTACGTTTGTCTTTGGTCTCTTTAATGAATACTGTTTGATACATTGTGTGCTGCATAGATTACATGACCTTACTAGATTGGTGTTTTTAAATACACAAAAGAAATTTAGTAAGGCATTCAAATGAAAAAAGGTACAGTTAATAAAAAAAGTAACTCAGTACTAATGTTCAAAATGCAGATTTTTCTGAAGCTTTATCTATGGCTTCGAGTTGTCGAGACTTCGATCCAAGGAAGAGAGTATTTTCAGATGAGGAACTGAAACCACAACCACTCATCAAAAAGTCCCGCAAACAATTTGTACCAGACGACCTTAAAGATGACAAATATTGGGCGAGACGAAGGAAGAATAACCTGGCTGCCAAAAGATCACGTGACGCCCGTCGGATGAAGGAAAATCAAATCGCACTTCGAGCTGGTTATCTGGAGAAAGAGGTAAGTTCTGCCCGGGTGACTTTTTATTAAAATATTAAAGGTTTTCCTCCCAGTGTGCAATAAATATTGAATTAAATAAGATATTCAGTGAAGATCTTTTTTCCTTTTCTTAATTCGTAGTTTTTGTCTTTTGCAGTCCAGCGCCTCATAATCGCATGATACAAGTTTTACAGTTTCTGGTTCTTTATCACAGAGTCTGCAATTGAGGTTTCCATTGCAAATGCTTATTTTATTCAGGAATTCTCTTACTGGTGCATGCCCGGTCAACATTTCTGTTACTGTTCTCAGTTTGTTTCTGTCCATATGAAGCAGTTCCTCTGTTCTTATTCTACATGGTCTACCAATGAAGATTTGTCCATGTGTTTGTTTTGGTATTCTCTCCAAATATCGCTGATCTAATTCTCTACAGCCCTACGAACTACAGCCTTTGGTATTTTTAGAGTTACATCTTGTTCGTTTGATTCGTTTGATCCACTTTTTGCACGTTGATCTGCTTTTTCGTTGCCTTCGATACCCTGATGTCCTGTTACCCAGACACGCTCAACCTTGTTCCAGTCCCCCAGTTCATTCAGTTCTTTAATGCAGTCCCACACCAACATAGACGTCATTGGCTGTTAGACAATATATGGATCTGCTCTTTTGCAAGAGTTCTATCATTATTTTCTTTTGCACATTACAATATCGCATAAATCTTGTACAGTTACTCCCCAAGCCAAAGCTTTCGATAATTCTTGGATTATTGGAGTATATTCCTGCCCCCAAACCCTCTGTAGTTTTGGATCCATCCGTATACCAGATCTTACCCTGTTGGTCATGGTGCTCCTTCTTTTTCCATACATTACTGTTTGAAATATGAATTCTTAAAATTGTATTGTCATGTGATCTGGTTTCTCATTAAAAATATCCTTCGTCACAGTCCTTTTGATACTCATATGCTCTGTCCCTTCATTGCAAAGTTTCAGTGATTGGTTGATTCTGTAGACACCCAATCTTGCTTCTCCTAAGTTTAGTAGAGCCTTTATAGCTGCTGTTGGAGTAGTACGCATGGCACCAGTTATACCAATACACGCAAGTATTTGCACCTTTCTGCACCTATTTTGCAGCTGCAAACTTTTGCAGCTGTTTATAAGTCCACCATATTGTCACTGCATAGGTAATTGTGGGTTTGATCACCATGGTATACACCGAGTGCACCATGTATGGTTTTAATCCCTATTTATTTCCAAACATACGCCTGACCCTCATAAGTGTTGTAACAACACTGCTTGTTTTATGTTATATTCATTCGAATTCAGTCAAAAGTCATTACATGGGAGGTTATCTAGGTAGTTGAACACGAATATTATGGCAGCAATGATCCTCGAGCTACCTAGTGCCCAGGGTGAAGCTCGTCTTCGAAAGTTTTAAGTCACAATGCTCCTCGAGTTATTGGGAGATCAGTGTGGATCTCATCTCCAAAAGTCACTACTCGTGGGTTTTTTAGTCTCGTGCCCAGCGTGGATCTCGATATGATAAGTTTTTTTTTTAATTTGTTATTTAAGATTTTCATGAAAGTATGGTATCAAATAACAGTTAATGATGATTTCTTGCATATAAATACAATAAACTTACTAAGTACAAAACAGATGAGCAAGTAATCATATCATTCAAATTTATTTCTTCCTTATCTTTTTCTGTATCAAATAATTGATTTTCTTCATAGTTCTCCATATTCATTCAATTTTTATCCTGCACAATTTTTACGTGCCAAATTGTCAAACATATAACCATTCTAAAACCTACCAATTTATTTCTTCATAAATTTCTTCATAATATACTTACAGATTATTTACTTATAATTACTCTGTTGATAAAGTAGATTGTAAACATGTAATGAATCGATAAAAAAATATATCACGACTGTCAATATCTTTGCTTTTTAATATATCTATAAGTTTTTTATGTTGAACCGTATCAAATGCCCTTTCAAAGTATATAATATATAAGTACATGTCCTGATTCACGTCGAACAAATCATCTCTGGTGCTTTTTGATGCTCTGGTGCTGGAGTTGTAACAATTCTGCTGTGTATTATTAAAAAAGAATTAAGTGTGTGACTCATTAAAACTATTGTTCTGGGATCTGAGCAGGTTGTTGCACTTGTCTTTTTGATAATTGCTACAAAGGTTGATTGCAGCCATTGTCTGGGGATTGTGGCAACCATTACATCAATAACATCTTTATCGATGAATTTTAATAATTCAATAGGCATATCATCTGGTCCAGTAGCTTTTCCATCTTTTGTGCTTTGGATGGCATAGATGAGTTTCTCTCGTAATATTGGTGGTCCGATATCCTCTGTGGTTTTGACTTGTTCAGAATTACTACAAAGGACTATTGCAGCCATTGTTTGGCGATTATGTCAGTCTAATGGATTAGATTAAAGATTTCAACCATTACATCAATAACGTCTTCATTAATGGGTTTTAATATTTCGATAGGCACATTATCTGGTCCAGTAGTTTTTCCATCTTTTGTGTTTTGATGGTATAGATGACTTCCTCTCGTAATATTGGTGGTCCGGTATACTCTGTGGTTTTAGTTAATGACAATGTAATGACAGTTTTTCTCTTTTATTGTTAAAAAGTTGTTGGATGTAATTGGTCCAGTGACATATTCTCACCTTTTTCGTATTAGTAATAATATCCCCCTTATCTTTAGAAGGATATTCGTTATTGTGCTTTTTGTAAAATCTGTCATTTCTTTAATTTTTTTTGTGTAAATTAAACTAACCTCGAGTTTTAACCTTGTTTAGGCTTACGCCTCTTCAAGGAATAAATTAACGCTATGATACTTTTTATCTAGATCTTCTATTTTCTTCTGTCGAAGAACCCCCTCTCTTTTGCCTCTAGAATTTTCTTTGTCATGTTTCCCTGAATTTCGTTGTATCTATTCAAGTCTTCTGTTTTATGTTTTCTTCGTCTTCCGTAAGTTCAAGAATTTTTACTGTCATCCAAGGTTTTCTTTTTTCTCCAAGTGGTTTGAGGGTTTCTTTTCCATCTGACATAAGGACAAGTTAAATTTTTCCCCATTTTGTTGAAGTTTCCGCATTATCATCTTTGGCTTTCCTTAAGTTCTCGTATTTTAAGTTTGGTTGCCGAATGTGAATTTCTTGTTTAAGCTGCGTTTATCCATGATTTTTTTGTAACTTGGGCTCTATAATTTCTCTATAGTTTCACTCTCATCGACAAGACAACCGGGTTGTGATCGCAGGATATATCAGCTCCTAAATAAGATTTGGACGATAATATAGAATTTCTATAACCTATGTTGACGTAGTATAATCTGTTTGATTTCTGAGTATTTTGTTGTTATTGTCACATGGTGACTTCCATGTGTAGAATCTACGTTTAGGAAGTTTGAACAAGGTGTTTATAATTATGAGTTTCTCATTGATACAGAAATCAACTTAGCCTGTCGCCCCGAGTCCATATCTCTCCATAAAATCATCCACTTCTGCTTGGCCCACTTTAGCGTTTAAATCGCCCATTATAATATTTCTGTCATGTCTTTTAGTTAGCTTTAAGACATTGGTGCATAGAAGGCCTCTATAGGTCTTTATCCGTGTCTGCAGTGGTTGCATATACTAGGATTATTTCTATTTTACATTTTAAATAAGAGTTGAGGGACAGCAACAATACTTGATCAGGGTAGGGAACAAAGTACAAACAGCTTTTTGCCAATTCTCTGTTTGTGATTGGTGTTGTTGTTCTCGAAATATTACATTGTTCTTTTTCTGGTGTTACATTTTCCTGATTCAGGCCATTGTATATCGCTCATCCCCAGTATGTTAATCTTAACTCTACACATTTCCAACACAGCGTTATCCAGTTTGCCCGATTGGTAGAAACTTCTTACGTTTCATGTTACAATTTTTAAACTGTAGGGTTCTTCTTTTTTGATTGACAAGGATTTATCTAGATGACCTCAGAGACCTTGTCATCTAAATCTGATTGTCTTCCCCTGCTTGCATTTTACTGGTTAAGTAACTTGTTAACGTATACCTGATTATATCTGTGGCTTGGTTCTAAAAATGTCAATGTCAAAAAGAATGGTTTTGAGATGTCTAAGTTGGAAGAATTACATAAAATTGTCAGTTAAGTTGTAAACCCATTTCCATATAATTGGAAATTGTCGTTACTTGAAGTTATCAACAAATAAATGATTTTTACAGATAGACTCAAATGTTCAATGCTTTTCAATTCTTTCTTGGAGAAAAAATGATATCAGCCTTTTTTTCAACGGAAAAACGTATTTTTCATTAACTTTGGCTCTTATTCCATTATCTAACATACAATGAAAGTTACAATAAAAACGCGAAGTTTTATTAAAAAAAAATATATTACTTTTGAAAGTAGTGTAATATTTAGACTTAATCTTTATCACAGCTATCACCACTTAAAGTGTTAACACCAGTTAATGATGTAGTTAGAACGTTGATAAACTGTTCATAATATGGACGGCTGCTTTGGTCGATGTAAGGCATCAAGTCTCTAAGATGTTATAGTTTTTTCGCTGGATCTCTCAACGGCTTCGTGAAAAGTGGTCTCAATGTCGATTGTGATGGATGCCTAGATTACCTAAGTCAACAGTTATAAAGGCAGATTCTGCCTCGTATGATGTTTTGTAAAAAATATACCTGAACTTTCATAGCGGTAACGCAGCATACTTATCCTGTTCCATGGTACTGGGTCTCCATTGGTAGTGACTTTTCGATGTTGATAGTAGTTTGTCAGCATTGCTTTAAAGTTCAAAAACTGGTTCTGCTCAATTTCATTGACAATAATAGGAGACTTTCTTGGTACCAATCTTATCAAGTTGGCCCAGTCTCTAGGGATATCAATATTGGCAGTAGTTACTCTCTTCGATTTTTCTAAGGCTGCATGAATCGAATCAGCTTCCATATGGGTGTGTTCTGAATGCAAAAACTTATGTGTTATTGTCACATGTCGTCCTTCATTTCGGAAGTGTTCAATACTAAGTAGGAACATTACAGCAAGATATTTGTTTTTTGTTTTGGCCTGGGCAACAGACACTATAAAATATAATTTCTCTTATGCTCTCGGGAAGATTTTTCACTTAAGCAAATATGCAAGATGCAAATGGCTGAGTTGCTTGTCGCATTCGAGTCAAAAAGAGTTAAGTTCAATGTTTATAGTTTCCTTTTGTAGAAGAAGTAGATTAGGAGACATAACCCTAAAAAACGTTATGTTAAAGAAAGTTATCAATAAACTTAACTTTTTCTTACATATTTAGCTCTCTACCGAGTTGGACAATCCTTTTACATCGATCAGACATAGTTTTTAAATACTTAACACACGTCAATTGATGAGTTCAGCTACAGTGAATTTTGGGTGAACCACGTGTTGCTCACTCGATTACTTGGCCGGTGTCAACAGAGTAGGAAAATGATTTTCGTTAGAAGGGCCGATGTAGATTTAGGCCGTTCTACAATGAAACAACCTCTTTAACCCTGGGCTAATGTCTACTGTGGCCGTTTTTATAAAATATGAAACATTCTAGTAATTTACATTGGCCTTGGTTAAATTTCCATACAGTGCTTATGACAGTCCATACGACCTTTCTACACAATAAAGTATTCTTTCTCAGTAAGAATCAGGGCCAAACTCAATTTCGAAGAATTTTGACGTTGGATCTTTTAGAACCAAGCCGCAGATAACTGATGTTCGCATAGTCATTGACATAAATGTCTTTGTATATGATCCGCATATGGTTAAAAAATGTGATTTTTATGAATATGGTTGCGATATATGTTTTAGAAACAAAAATTATTAACATTTTTTATTGTTTATATGCAAAATGTCAATGCTTTTTTCCAAAATTTCCTTTTTAATACTTTCCTCTCCAAAACCAACCTAATAATTTTTGTAATAATTTTCTTTATTATACTTACCTGTAACTATATTTTATTAATTTATATCTTTTTGTCTTTTGTAGAATATTGGTCTTCGTCAAGAATTAGAAAGAATGAAAAAAGAAAATTTAATTTTAAAGAACAAATTGTCAAAATATGAAGATGTATAAGTACCTGAAAGAACCATTTTCCGCTGCATATTTCATAAGAAGAAAAGAAGTAGTATCCGGTCAAATTAACACTTTTTCGAAATCTACTTATGCCGTGTTCTTTCAGAGGACAAATCCAAACATTTGTACATAAACATCCACATTATGTAGTAATCATGTAGTGTTAAGTTTATTACTTGTAGTCAAACATTAGTTTTTGTTTTTAGCATGGTATTATCGAATATACTTGGTTAATGTTATTCTTAGCATTCAAAATCAAGCAATTTGTCTCTAAAGTTAAAAAGATATTTTTAAAATAAAAAATAATTATATGCAGATGCGGTAATGGTTAGAAAATATAATTGCTAATTAGTTTAAATAAAGACTGTTGTGAAAGCTATCCAATAGGAAGCTTTGGTATAGACTCCTCTATTTTGGATCATGTAAAATGATTCCCCTTTAAACAAAGAAAAACAACCTCATGAGTCATATTTCAAATTGTGTTCAAACCATGAACCATAGTCAAACTTATTGTTAACCACTATAATTTCAATACATTACGAGTACAGTATGAATTTGTCAACTAATGTATTTTTACCGAAATTACATAACCACCTATTTATCATATATAACCTACAATTTTACTAATTTCTACAATAACTCATGCTCCTGAATGTCTCGTAAATTGAGTTTAGATACATTCACTGCTGTGTAGTTAATATATACTGCTGAACATACGGAATATTCTCAAATACATCTCGTAGAAGACAAATTTACTATAGGTAGTAATTAATTGAGCTATGTATTGTTGTAACAACACTAATTGCTCTCATGATTTTGTCGTAATTTTGGCAGTTACTTACTTCTTTAACACAGCCTTTAATATCCATTTTATCCTACTTTGCACTATAGCCTGCTGGTATACAGGTACCCTTTTTATTTTAATATTCATTATTTCGCCTGGGTCTTTCGGTTTATTTTCGTCATCTCTTGTATTTGTCAATATTTTTCGAAGAGCTTATAGCAACAAGCTATGTATATTGTCTGTTTTGTATGATTTTCGTTTTAGTTATCTTTAATTTTAATATGTCGATTGGTCCCAGTTCTAGTTTACAAGTTTTACTAACTTAAATAAGTTCAATTATTTTATTCAAACCTATTTGGCTACTAAGTCACATTATATACCCTGCGTAACGGTATGTGATATTACTTTTACTATTATTATGTTAAATTGCTTGTTAATCTAGCTTGATTTTACACTTCGAGTTATCGTATTTGATCGTCAGTCTATTAGAATATTTGTAGTGTACTACCTCGTTCCTGAAGTAAGACCATCTTTCCTGATTCACTACACTTTTCAGATTGTTGCATGCATCTGTTCTTATTTAGTTCGTCTTCTTACATATTCATTCCTCCTTTATTCTGGAGATTAATCAGCGTGATTCAAATTTTTATATAATAAATCATTAAAAGCTTATTTTTATTGTTTATTAGCAATCATTCTACAGGCCTTTGACACTTGGTCTTAAAAAAACCCTGTCCTTTTATCAAACTCCTCCAATATGTCATACATTCTTAATAAAAGCTAACAATTTTCTATGAGGATCATTTTCTCCTTTATTAATACTTGTTTTGCTAGTATATAGCCGCCTCATGTCACTAACCATTTCGAACTAACATAGTACAAGTATGGCCCTTTCTTTCTCTCTTCGTCTTACTGCCTGTAGCATAAATCAATCTTCTACCTACGTTGTATAGGGGTTTCCTTACTTGGCAGTATCCAATCACCATCTCTGTGGCCACCTCTCATCTCTTAAGATTAATTAGATTATACAAAAGCCCCTTGATAATAGTGTTAATGATTTTCTTCACATGGGTTTAACACTGAAAGTTTCGCTATTTGATGTTATGACTGTTTTCTAACCACTTTCTAAATGAATTTCATTTCTATTGACATATTTCATATAATGTCGAAAAATGGTTCTAGGCCTTCACAGATTCTAAGGTATGTTATACCTTATTGATGTAAGTGATTTTATAATGTCTACAGCTTTCCGCAGTTGGCGCAGTCGTTTGCTGATTCATATTCATTTTGTCATCTGATTCGGTCTAAGTTCTTAATTACATATTGGAATCTGATTAGTAACGATATTTATGCTGTAAATCTTAGGATTATATCACATAGATATGAAAACTTTTCAAATAATTAGTTTCTACGTCTATTTTCAAAAGTTCCTTCAACAATTGTCTGTGCTGTTTTTGTTTGATTATATGAGTATGAATGGCTTTCCTTTTTCTTCATAATGATTTCTTCAGGGTTGTCTTGTTAAGATTATATTGTTTGCATTGGTATTAATAGTTATTGGCATAAACAATGAAAGTTTATAGACAGCTATAATACAGCATTCTATACATTTTCAAAAAATAAAATTTATAGTGATTTCGTTAGTAGGGAATACGAACCTTTGATCATTACTTGTGTCTGAGCTATTTTGTACCCTGCACTAATTAGAAGCGCACTTAATAGTAGATGATACTACTTTTTTGGTATTTTTATAAATTAATTGGTAGGTATAGTTCGTGAAGATTTTAACAAATTTTTGTAAGTTAAAGTTGATGCATATGAAACATGTATAGACTTTAAAAAAAGATACTTTTGGGAGACAAATTGTTTGATCATACCAGTCATAGACAGTTACCATTTATTGTTGCTGTGAACATTTTTATCTTTTTTGTTATTGATATGTCATTGTGGTCATATACATTCTATATTAGAATTGACCTAACTTAAAATATATCGCCAAGTATTTTTCGACAAAAACTAAAAACGTTTTTGAAACATTGCTGCCTGTAAAATGTGGTAGCTTCGTCTGTTATACAAATGCAGGTTATTTCTTTTGTTGATTGTTTTTATGTTTATATAGTCTATTTTTGGTTGAAGTTAGTTTACTAGGCTTTAAAACCATTGTTGAAATTAAACTAAAATTGTTACAGGTTAAACACTATATATTGAATTAGATTCTGCATATTTGTAGTTCAAAACAGTAAATTAATATACGAGTAATAAAATCAAGATCCATTTTAATTGCTATTATTTCAGTTATTTCCCAACCTTAAATCTTTGTATCTCCAGAACTCTTCAAAACTGATCTATTCAGTCTATATAAGTAGGGAAAAGGCGGGCAAAATGGGGTACTTCAAATAGGATTTAAAACAAATCTGTAACGTTCAAGGTCTTGAAATAAAGCAAATATCATTGTTATAGTAGTTACTATTTATTAATATAATTTAAAGGTAAAAAAGTAAAAGGTTTTTTTATGATATGAAAATAAAATAGAAAATAATGTAAATCACCCCATTATGCCCGTCATATGGCAAAATGGTGTACGAAATTGAAATCAAGAAAAGCCTATTGACAAAATTCGCATACAACATCTTCTACACCTGCACAATGCACATGAATTGTGAGCCTACAGTTCTTTTACCCTATGACGGCCGATATGCAATTAAGATATGATCAGTGGGCCTCAAACAGTGGGGCGTTAATATTTAATTCCGATCGCTTGAAAAGTAAAAATATTTAATTTCCTGTATTTTATGTTCAGTAATAATATTGGATTTTACTGTATCAAAGGCAAATAAAATGAATATAATATGTATATACAGGGCGTGTTAAAAGAAGTGAGACGGAATATTTCGAATACTCGAAATTATTTGTCGACATCAAATGTTCATCAAGGTCTCTATAAGTCTCTATTTTGCGTAGAGTGAAAATTATACGAATGGTTTTGCATGCAGTAAAATTGGAAAATACTTGCTAAGTTGCTGGTATGTCCAAATTTGAATAAAATACATCCAATACTTTACTTTCTGCAGACACTGTATTAAATATAACCTTGAAACAAATTAGCACTAAATTATTTCCGATTTTTCAGCAAAAAAAACGGTTTAAACACGTGTAGACCAGTAATTAATACCAAAGCTATTGAGAGTATACAGTCCAGTAATTAGACCGAAGGTACTTCGGTTTAATATATTAAAATATCTTTTAACTAAAACATATCAGAAAGTCCGAATTGAATTCTTGAAATACTTTTTGTTACTTCTTTTTAGCAAACCTTTTGTCCCATTCACTGTCTGATATTTCACTATTAGAGTGGTCACTATCTGAATTTATGTATTCGAATAATTAGAGGCTGTACCTCATCTATAACTCACATGGTTTGAGAAGACTGAACGATTATGTCATCCGTATGTCTAATACAATTTTGACATTGTTCTGCCTTTATTTGTTCTAGCGATTCTTTCCATAAACTAAAAGCGTCATCTATTGTTTTGGTATCATGTTTATCATAAATTTTTTTGGTTATATCCCAAACTAACTCAATTAGATTATAGTGGCAATGGTAGGGCGGAAGAACTTTATGGTCATATTTAAGAGCCATTTGGTCAGTAACAAATTTCTTTTGAATTTTGTGCTCTCCACACCTTTGAAGTAAATCGACTTTTAAAAATATATCACTGTGATAAATTTTCTTTTCTGTCAACCATCAACTTTATTTTCTTCTTTTGTCCAGCTGCTTGAAGGAAATCTTTCTTTGACTCTTGAGTGGTAGGATGCATTATCCAACACTATTATGGATGGTCGCTCCAATTTTTTTAACAAATTTTCTTCAAACCATCATCATCATCAGTGGTGCTACAGCTCTAGTTGAGCCTTGACCTTCCCCAGTCTATTTCGCCAGTCGTTTCTGTTCATCGCCAACCGTTGCCAATTAGCCGCGCCGATTTTCCTTGCGTCCTCGTCCACACCGTCCCTCCATCTCAGTCGTGGTCTGCCTCTACTCCTATTTCCCACTGGGACCGATAATAGAGTTCGTCTGGGTGGGTAATTCTCATTTGCTCTTGACACATGTCCAGCCCATCTAAGCCTGCCTATTTTTATGAAGGATATTACATCTCTACCATTTACTATTTTTTTATATTTCTCGTACAATTCGAAATTATATCGCCTTCTCCAAATACCATTCTCACAGAATGCGCCCATTATTCTTCTTAGTATCTTTCTTTCGAAGACGAGCAGAAGATTTGCGTCTGTTTTGGAGATGGTCCATGTTTCTGACCCATATGTCAGCACTGGTAGGATGAGTGTTCGATATATTATTAGTTTGGTTTTCTGGCTTAAGTTTCTGTTTTTTAGCTGCTTGCTTAGTCCAAAATAACATTTGTTTGCTAGCAGTACCCTCCGTTTAACTTCTTCAGATGTGTCATTATCGTTTGTTATGAGAGAACCCAAATATGTAAACTTATTTACTACCTCAAAATTATATTGGTCTATACTGAAGTTTTGTTCGGCGTTTCTAGCTCTATCTCTGTTATTTGTAATAGATGCTAGCATTTTGGTTTTTTCCTCGTTTATTTTAAGGCCCACATTTTGTGCGGCTGTCAAGAAGGTGGAAGTCATCTCTTTAAGTCCTCGTGTAGTACGTGCAATCAAATCCAAATCGTCAGCGTACGCCATAATCTGCGTTGATTTATTAAAGATTGTTCCCCTATTGTGTAACTCGGCATCTCTTATAGTCTTTTCTAACGCTATATTAAAGAGAAGGCACGCCAGCGCGTCTCCCTGCCGTAACCCTGCATATGTTTCAAACGCTTGTGACATATCGCCTTGTATTTGTACTCTGCAGATCACTTTACTCATAGTTGTTTTTACGAGCCTTATTAATTTATGGGGAATGTTAAGTTCATTCATGGCTTCGTATAGTTTACCTCTTAGGACGCTATCATACGCTGACTTAAAGTCCACAAAGAGATGGAACGTGTCAATATTAAATTCATTGGTTTTTTCTAAGATTTGACGTAGCACAAAAATCTGGTCAATTGTTGACCTACCTGGCCTAAAACTACTTTCGTGATGGCGCCTACTATATCAAAAAAAAAAGTAGCAGCTTTATTTGTTATTCTACTTGATGAAAAAGTAAAAACAAAGAAAAAAAGAACCAAATGGTGCAAAAATTATTGTTAAGGTTAATGCAACGATATGTGTTTTCACATATGAAATTAATACAAAACTTACGTGTTTATGAACCTGCAGATTTTCAAAATTACTTGGAAGAATGCACAACGATACGTTTAAATTACTGGTAGAGTTAGTTCGACCCAAAATTACTAAACAAACAACGATTATGCGAGATCCAGTTAGCATTGAGGAAAGATTAAGTGTAACGCTAAGATATCTAGCAATGGGTTCTTCCCCTGACGACATGAAATATACTACCGCTATATCAGCGCAATGCATTGGTAAAATAGTACCTGAAACATGTTGGGCCATTTACGAGGCTTTAAAAGGAGAATATTTAAAGGTGAGTTATAATGAAATTAATTTTTCAAATTTTATTTATGTGTAGATTAAACAACAAACTATTCTAAACAAAAGAACGAAATTAATTAAATTATAAGAGGCAAATTAAAAACAATTTTCTTTCATATGACCTATACCAATAATAAAAAAATAATTTCACTCTTGTGGCTCATAGCTACTTAAGAAGTATCTGAGATTCTGACTGCCATCTTGCATATTAGAACTGTTCATAGAGTCTACCTGTGAAACAGTATCATCTTGCGTTATTATCGTTGGTGGTTGCAAGTGTATGTAGCTTCGTGATTGACTGCTAACTGGTGGAGGATGATCAAATGTTGATGATCATGTACATTTTTAGATACAGCTTTACAGTTTACAGTTGCAGTTTCTGTAAGTTTACCTATCTTGGTGTAATAAATAATATCAGAAATCAATTTGTCCACAATTATATTCTGATTCTCAGCTATACTACTCAGCTGATAACCGATTCGTTTTCCGGCAATCATATATTCTTTATCATCAGTAGTTAAGGCACGTTTAGCTAATTTAAATAAATTATCTTTCCTTTGTTGAAGTGGATAATTTTTTATTCTCTTCCGGTCATTTAGAGAACTACAAGACGGTGATCTCTTTGTCTGTGGTATATGTGTTTGGCGAATATCAGTAGAAGCACGAGATGGAGATGTAGTTGTTGTTGGTGTTTGTATTATCTGAGTATTGTGATATGTGCTTGTCTCTATTTCTGCTGTATTTTCCTCGGAGTCAAGTGGATCTACTACCTCCCGTACATAATTAGTGTCACTTATAGGCGACAGTGGTGGTTTTGTTTCTTCATATTCACTTTCCATAATATTATCCTGAAAAAAAAAACAATATGAGATTGAAAACTTTTTCGCTATTTTTCTTTATTGAGTAATTATGAACTGATTGTGTCAAAATTTAGAAAAATATTTTACTACAATATTTGTTTTTCTTTAGGTTCCTTCTTGTGCAAACGAGTGGCAGAAAATTGCAGACGACTTCAAAAATATGTCAAATTTTGAAAACTGTTTAGGGACAGTTGATGGAAAACATGTTCTGATTAAAAAACCTCCTAAAATTGGATCATACTTTTACAATTACAAAGGCACATTTAGTGTCATATAATAGTTAATACAAATTATGAATTTTTATATGTTCACACTGGACCAACGGACGAGTATCAGATGGAGGAATATGAAAAAAAACGGGAATATATAAGCGTTTGATGGCAAATACATTGAATATACCCAAACCAGTCCAACTTAATAATACAGGTGTTGCATTGCTTATGTCTTTATTGGTGACGAGGCTTTTTCGCTAATAACAAATTTACTAAAACCATATTCACAAAGACAAATAACTTATGAGGAACGAATTTTTAATTACCGACTTTGTAGGGCTCGCCGACTAGTTGAAAATGTGTTTGGCATCTTGGCAGCACGATTTAGAATATTTTTACAACCCATTGCCATCACTGTTGACAAAATTGATGGCATTATTCTTAGGTGTTACGCACATAATTTCTTACGGAAAAGGACAACAAGAAATTATTTAACAGAAACGGTTTTGGATCGGGAAGATACCACTAGTGGTGTTCTCGTGCAAGGCAAATGGAGGCAAACAGGTTACCTCTTAAATCTGGAAAGGACACAGTCGAAAAATGCAACTGCGTCGTCAAAAACGATACGAGATTCCTTTAAAAATTGCTATAATACTATAGGACGAGTTCCATTTCAAGACCAAATGATAATTGTGCGCATGAGTTTATACAAAAAAGCAATAAATTACTTACTATTGTATCGTCAATTACGTCTTCTCCTTTATCTGTTGATATTCCTTTTCGGTAAGATTCGCATTGGGCTCTAAATAACAGC